TCTCCACACAGCTGTTCCACACTGACACCCGTTCCACCACAGCACCCCCCACACACCTGGTCCACACTGCACCCCCACACACCTATTCCACCACTATATCCCCGCACACCTGTTCCACACTGCAGCTCCGTACAGCTATTCCACCACTGACTTGCTTTCAGAAGGTGGGCCCTCGATTGTCAGCGGGCCAGCGATGGGTGAGGGAGATCGCGGCGAGGAGAGCAGCGGGGTGTGCGGCTTCAGCGTGCGGTGGGCGTGGCTAACGGGAGCAGCGTGTTACGTGTGGCTCAGGCCGCATGTGGAGCCCCGAACAGGCAAATCAATCGATAGCCGACGGATCGACGATCGAAAACATTGCCAACGTTTTCAATCGTCGATTTTAATCGACTAAATAGATTAACTGTTGCAGCTCTACATGGCACAATTTGCTGTAATAATGTATTGCTATACAGAGCAATATACCATCAGCTATAGAGGAATACAAATCCCAGCAATAGTACATTATACAGCGCAATGCAGAATACCACCAGCTATAATGTACTATTGCTGGGATTTGTTGTATTCCAATATCGCTGGTGGTATTCTGTATTGCACTGTATAATGTACTATTGCTGGGATTTGTAGTCCTCTATAGCTGGTGGTATTCTGCATTGCAGCTGTATAATGTACTATTGCTGGAATTTGTAGTCCTCTATAGCCGGTGCCATTCTGCATCGATTGCTGTATAATTTTACACTTTCCATTTCACTATATTGCACACACTTTTTTTTTTTTTTACTTCCACCACTCCAAGCTTGCTCCTGTGATGGACTACAATCTCAATACAAACTAGTAGTCCATCACTGGAGCCATTTTTTTTGTTTTTAATCCAATTAAGCAAACTTAATAATCGGCTAACCAATTTTGAAAATAATTGTTAGCTGCAGCCCAAGTGAGCACTCATCTGTGTGTTGGCATGGAAGAAGCTCCCCATTAATGCATGTGTGTGGGTGATGTCCCACGGGGATCAGACTGTGTAATGGCCAATCCCAGAGATGTTGTTGTGTATGTGTCATTTTAACTGCCCAGTCTCTCTGCCGTGTATTGGTTCTTGTCTGAAGTCTGCTGTGTATTGGTTCGGGTCTGAAAGCCCAACCCCTGGAAAATAACCCCACACCATAATCCCCCCTCCACCAAACTTCATACTTGGCACAATGCAATCAGACAAGTACAGTTCTCCTGGCAACTGCCAAACCCACACACGTCCATCAGATTGCCAGACAGAGAAGCGTGATTCGTCACTCCAGAGAACACGTCTCCACTTCTGTAGAGTCCAGTGGCGGCGTGCTTTACACCACTGCATCCGGCTCTTTGCATTGCACTTGGTGATGTAAGGCTTGGATGCAGCTGCTTGGCCATGGAAACCCATTCCATGAAGCTCTCTACGCACTGTTGTTGTGCCAATCTAAAGGCTACACGAAGTTTGGAGGTTGGTAGCTATTGACTCTGCAGACAGTTGGCAACTTCTGCACACTGTGGGCTTTAGCATGAGCTGACCCTGCTCTGTCATTTTATGTGGCCTACCACTTCGTGGTTAAGTTGCTGTTGTTCCCAGTTGCTTCCACTTTGTTATAATACCACTAACAGTTGACCATGGAATATTTAGTAGCAAGGAAATTTCACGGATGGACTTATTGCACAGGCGGCAACCTATCACGGGACCATGCTTGAATTCACTGAGCTCCTGAGCATAACCCATTCTTTCACAAATGCTTGTAGAAGCAGTCTGCATGCCTAGGTGCTTGATTTTATACACCTGTGGCCATGAAGGTGATTGGAACATCTGAATCCAATGATTTGGAGGGGTGTCCAATACTTTTGGCAATATAGTATGTTCCTGAGGAGGTTCTTTTAATAATTCTATACCTTAAACACATTCAGCTAATTTTAAGTTTACACTTACACTTTATGGCATTTAACTCAGCTCTCACAGAAGCCTAGTTAACCCTTGCAACTCCATCATCTTGCCAACTCTCCTGGAAGGTAAAGTCACATGCCTACTACCCCCAGTCACACTGATTAACAACGTATTTACACTATGTCATAGCATCATGTCCAATGGACCTGACAGGCCTGACCTCTGAGCCATCTACACCATGTACCATGTACAAATCAACTTCGTTAGCTGCACGTCCGTTTCCAGGGCCTCCATTCTGGCTGACAGAGAAGTAGTGGCGGTTTCTACCGATGTGACACGATCATCCACCTCCGAGATGCGGTGGGTTAGGTCGTGCAATTCTTTTTTCAAGGCCGCGACGATGGAGGAGCCATGTTATCCAGATCCCTTTTTGTAGGCAAGTGCGGAAGCAGGCCCTGTAGGCCGCCCTCATCCTGGACATCCAAACCCAACATGTGCGGGAACGGAGAGGGACCGGGCGGTGGCTCCGCCTGCGGCGTGCTCGGTATCAGGCTCGAGGGTTGAGGGGGGGTCAGAGCCATGGGGTTCCCCCTGATCAGGTGTCCGGATCAGTGTGCCGTGTCCCTGCTTCTTACGCAACATGATACCGGCCGCCGAGGAGTGTGTGAGCGCCATCTTGGAGGTAGTCGTTGAAGCGGGAGTCAGGGGCTGCTCCTTGGACATGGAGAAAATGGGTAAATAAAGTCAGCTAAAGCGTAAGTCCGGCTCGGTGAGTGCAGAGCTCCCCTAAAGCATGTCTTCACGGCGCCATGTCCAGACCACGCCCCCCATACCTCTTGTTAAACAAATTAACACCATCACAAATAAAAAGTAAAAAATGGCAACCGATTTCTCATGCGCCAAACACTGAGAAGTAAAAGGTAACGAAATGGGGTAACTGAAAAACCACTTCTCCTACCTTAGAGCGGTCAGCACCAGGATTCCCCAGATCAGATGATGCCATTGTGGTTATTGACTATGCTGCCAGGGCCCCCGGTCCCTCCAACTCCAGTTCCCCACTTCTTATGCCCCCCCTTGCGGGTGTGGGGGCCGCAAGGGATCAGCGACCTGCTGCCTCTCCCATCCCTATATCGTTTGGTTGCGTGGACCGAGCAGCTGATCTCCACGAGGGGCTGCCATTATGGTAAACTCCACAGACCGGCCCTCTACTGCCTTAGTCACACACCAGGGCCCCTGCAACTCCGGCCTGAGAGTGCTGTCTGTGTGAAAGAATCCCCTGGACCGAAAGCTCCACGCGACCGGAAGCTGCACCAGGGGATACCCTGCTGATAGATGCCATTGCAGGTAAGTTCGGCAGAAAAAATTTGTGGGGGCCGCAAGGGATCAGCGACCTGCTGCCTCTCCCATCCCTGTATCGTTTGGTTGCGTGGACCGAGCAGCTGCCGAAATCCGGACCCCCGCGGCCGGAAATTACATCAGAACCGGAACTACTTCGGGCCGGAAGTGCGCGAAAAATGTCACTTCCGCCCCTCCAAAGGTCACAGCCGCTCCGCTCTGATCTCCACGAGGGGCTGCCATTATGGTAAACTCCACAGACCGGCCCTCTACTGCCTTAGTCACACACCAGGGCCCCTGCAACTCCGGCCTGAGAGTGCTGTCTGTGTGAAAGAATCCCCTGGACCGAAAGCTCCACGCGACCGGAAGCTGCACCAGGGGACACCCTGCTGACAGATGTCATTGCAGGTAAGTTCGGCAGAAAAAATGTAAAATATGGAAAGAGAGGTCTTGCCGTAGGGGGGACTCCACTGAGTCCACTACATCAGAGCGATAGTTGCCATGCATTCACTTATCCAGGAAACCTCAGGCATATACAAAGAAAAAAAACTTATTTTGGACAGGTGGGGACTGTCCTGGAAGACCCAGTCGTGACTACCTCAGGTCCACTGACCCTGCATGCTGTACTCAGACGAGGGAAGACCCTGCTCACTAGCACGAAGGCCTATGCAAAATAACAAATGTTACGATGTCCTGCTTGGCCGGAGGAAACACAAAATAACTGAGGTATGCAAGGCTTGTGCTTTTTATTTAGGTGTGGGTGATGTGTTTTCTGTCCCATATCTCTGATGCTGTCCTGGAAGGTGACTAGAGAAAGTGAGGTAAGGGGTTAAAAGGTTGCTAAACCTGGAGCTACTGCTCTTCAGTTTGAGAGTTGCTTATGCTGCAGCCCCTGCCTCTATCGCCACACCAATGGCAGAAAAAAGCGCATAGTGCATACAAATACTGCGTTTCTAAAAGGCCCTGCCAACAACCAACAAAGGAACACCCAAAAGGAGGACCACCTCCCAAGGGTACCTCACACTGTGTCCTAACCACAAAATGGATATAGGAGGAAGAAGACCCATAACAAAAAAAACTCCAGCCTACCTTGGAGCCATAATGTCTAAATCTGCTGAATCTGTAGAAGCTGGCATGGCGGAACCACGGTATATGGTGTAGCGCTGCTGACCAGTGGAAGTCTGCTAGACATCTCCTAAAAAGCTCCACTTTTTTGACTGCTCACAACTCCCTCCCCACCTGCTTGTGCTCCCTCCCTAGTATCTGTGGATGCTGGCACCAGGCTATACCCACAAATGCACCGCATTGCTGTGCATTCGAGGAGAACCTTGCTAAAGAGCCATGTAGCAACCGTAGCATGTAGTCTCTCAGAGAAAAGGCATATGGACCTGCTCCAACTGCAAGTGTACCATTCACCAAGAGACCAAGCTCTTGGTGAATAGGACGCCACTGGACATGGTCCATCCACAACTTGGCCGTATACATAGGAGAATGGCTTGCCAACGCTGGAAGCATAGCTCCCCCCTTACCCCACACCATGAGGGGCAACACAGGGGAGAATTCAAGGCCCGACCAAATGTGAGTAAGGGAGGGCTTATATAGAGCCTCTGCGCCCATGGGGATAGCGGCTTCTCCTACTGTAAATAAGGGACCTTGGGGGTAAAAATTAAAAGGTGATGAGGAGGAAGGGTCCCACAACTAGATAATCAAAAGAAAATGAGTTATGACCCAGGCATGCAGCCCCTCCAGGTCCACTGTCATTAAAAACATGGTGAAGCATACACTCGGAGGCTAACAAAACTAACAAAAACGCCTATGGAAAAAATAAACGTTCTTAAATGTTCCTGTTAGGCTGGAGGAAACAACAATTGAAGTGGTTGGGAGGGACAGCCCCTTTTTGTCTGTGAAGGTTCTCATGTATCCAGATTCATACTTTACTGGCATCTATGCAAAAAAAAAAAAAGTATATGCACTTCTTTTCTTTTATTAAGCGTGCTTTTTTTTTCTTTAGCAAAAGCTGGAATTTCCCTTTAACCCCATCGCTGTATTGCAAGCAGTAGGTGTCCTACAGGCCTGGTGTAACATGGACCAAATTCATAACAGAGATTGTTCTTCTCCGCTCTATCCAAAACTAAAAAAAAAAATGTTTAGAATCACTTTAAAGCTAAATTCCAGGTATAAATTATTATGCACACTTACATTGGTCCAGCATGGTCCAATTTAAGTATTGCATATGTTATACCCGATTGGCTGTTGGGGATGCCGTAAAGCAGTATAGTAGCTGGAGCTACTACGCTGATTTACATCGATCTTCCAGGTCCTGTATGGCGCTGTGCAGAGCAGCTTTCCCTCTGCTCTGAAAACACAAAGGGTCACTCACTTGGCACAGCGGCAATCCAATACAAAGAGTTATCTGATGGGACGAGAGGCTGTGATGTCATGACCTGCCCCTTTTCTAATTTTTTGAAAAATTATACTGTTATACATTGGCACATATCAGAAATGTATTAATGCAGACTTATGAATACAAAGAATGTTCCAATAATACATAGGTCAAAGAAAGGTTGATGAAGGTCAAGTAGTGTCTCATGAGAGAGAGATGTTAACTGAACAAATTAAAGCGATGATGCAGTTTACATGCATTCAATTCCACCTAGGCCAGTGGTTCTCAACCTGTGGGTCGCGAACCAAAAGTGGGTCACAACCCCGCCGTTGAGTGTTTCGCTGCATGCCTTCTGCTCCGCTAGGAGGAGGCTCCTCATCCTCCTCCTAGTGCAGCAGCCGGGGAGGAGCAGAAAGCAGGAGAGTGATATTTTTTTCTACATTTACCCTGCTTTGGGCAAGCAGGGCTAAGTGTACAGCAGCCACCCCCCCTATAGTCCATTCCCCTCTGCCGGGACCACAGCACATTAGTTCAGGGTGGAGAGCAGGGAGCAGCCCAGAGAACGTCCGTTCTCCAGTCTGCTCTGTGTTAACAGTGAGACAAGAATGCTGTACACACAGCCTTCCTGTCTCAGCTGCCACAGGAGATCCAGCACAATGCTGTTCTATAACTCCTGAACGCTATCACACAGGAGCTTGTTAGTTACCTGTGTAATAGCAATAAAGTAAAGTGGAAAAAAAAAGAAGTTAAAAATAATAAAATAAATAAAAATTGCTAAAAAGCAAAAATTAAAAATTGGAAATTAAAAAAATTCAGATAAATAATTTAAAAAAGTAAATAAATTGATAAAAAGTAAACAATAAAATAAAAATTATAAAAATTAAAAAAAGTAAAAGATAAGATAAATACAAATTTAAAAAAAAGTTAAAAAAATGTTTAAATAATAATAATAACCATTTGCCAAGTTGGGGGTCACCATAACTTGGCAAATGTTACCAAGGGGTGCCGGCCCAAGAAAGGTTGAGAACCACTGATCTAGGCCCTCCAAACAGGAAAGGATGCAAACCTTTTCTGTTTGTTTTCCCAGACCTAGATGGACTCAGATTTACATCCACTCACCATAGACATACGTATGAAAAACTGAAAGACTAATTCAGACTGAACGTAGGTGTGAAAGGGGCCTTAGTGGGCATCTTTACTCAGGAAGGTAAAGACTATGTAAGAAATAATTTAAATCTACTGCAGACAATTAGGAGACAGATCATATCAGTCTGTAGTGTGTGCAAGGAACAGAGGAGATCTCTTTCTGGAGTTACAGCAGCTGTTGATCTACATCTGGAATTTCTACAGGGCTAATTAAAAAAGGGTGCAGGGTGAAAAGCAAGAAGTTATTCTAGTCAGCAAGGTATAAAATATTTTCAGTAACAAAAAGGTTAATAAACGGTCAACATTAATTTCTCTTCCATTATCAAAGTTAATGTCCGTTTTTGTGTTATAAGCCAGAAATACTACATCTACAAATATAAAACATACCAATGCAAATAGCAAGACTTGTGAGAAAGCCATCATGGAACGTTTCAAAATGCCAAATAGCACCATTTGGAATATGTTTTTCCATATAAAATGAAAATTAAATTACTGACCTGGTCCTTCTTCTCAAGAGCCAGGGCATGTTCTTCGGCCATCTTGGCTCGGTGTGCTTGATGGGCCTCGTTTTGCTCTTGAAACTTTCGTAATGACGCTAGTATAAAAAACGATATTATGTAACTATAGGTCTCAAAATTATAAGTATTTTTAAAGCTGGACTCCAGGGCAAACAACTAACAGATGGAATAAATAGAAAGGACTGTTTACCAGTTACAATGTTAGTGTTTCTACCATTCCAATTCTGAGATTTACACAACCCCATTGCAAAGCCAGGTGGATGACACCACTTACAGTGAAGGAATACAATGGTGTCCTCTCTTCCTCCACAGCCTGCTGGCTAGACAGTAATAGAGACCCACCAGACAGGGGAGGTCACTTATTTATGAACTGCAGAATGGAAGGTCCATAAAACTGCTTCCAGCAATTCAAAGGTTTATTGTAATTGAAAGGCACAACCAGTTTAAGCAATTGTCTAAAGGCATTTCACTCTCAATAAACCTTATGCTAAAGCATTCTTAAGTGTGAAATGTATCAGCACACTAGCTAAAACGTGTGCCTCTAATTATCAAAACACCCTTAGACTGCTGCAAGTGGACACAGAAGCGATCTGGCGACAGGTAAGTCGCCAGAATCGCTTCTGTTGTAAAGCCGACAGTCGGCTTTACAAGTTTAAACAGAGTCCCGGCGGCAATAGCCGCCGGGAGTCTGTTTAAACAGCCCCGATGCTGGCGACGTACACTGTATGTCGTCAGTCACGAAGGGGTTAAGGCTTCCGAGATCCTCAGAGATGCAAATCCCCCTCGCCATACCTCACTCTCTTTCTCCTTCTCTGTCTTACCTGGTTTCTTCTGACAGTCTGTTCTACTTCTTCCATCTCCCTTTCTCTTAAGAATGTATTGTACATACTGCTCCTGATGGCTTTTAGCTGATTAATATTGCTGGTCACTCATGTACAGTCACTATGGCTACTTGACAATGCAATTGAGGTTATGTACTATTAGACGGATATCATTAGGCTGCCCCAAAAATGTTGGCTTATATTTTAATGTATGTCATTGTCTCAGGAACCGTTGTACCTTATTTACTCATTCTAATTTAGATAAAAAAATTGATTGAACCAAAAAAATAAATAAATGTAATGCTTTATTAAATCTGCTTTGAGTTGTGCCTTTTATATCTGCCTTGAGTATAGTAATAAACTACTTGAAGGAATCTTTTACATACACCAACAGATCCCAATTTTTTATGGTACAAGGCCTCCATCAATGACATCACATAACCTACGTTGCCATGCTACCAAAAGATTAGATTACTAATTCTAAGTGTAAAGATAACTACAGTTGACCACGACTCTAATGGGGTCCAGACGCACAGGTGCTCAGTGCTGTCTGGTGGCATGAAGCTAATCCATGGCACAACTTATAACGGGCATTTAATTTTGGATAAAATAAATTAACATTTTAGACTTGTTAATCAAGTGGTTTCAAAATCATTATCCTAAAGTGCAAGTAATTTTAAGATGGATCAGGTAGGGCCATATCTAGCAGAGCTGCTCAAAACCTAGTGATTTTGTTTTTGTTTAGTTTTTCTAGTCTTACCTGAGATTCTGGTCCCTGCCTGCAAAAGGAACATTAGTACTACTGTTATCTGAGGTGTAAGCTGTGTGGAGTCTATTCATTTCTTCATTTCATCTATTTATTTGCAGCAAATAATACACAAAAAATCATTTAAAACAGAACTCCAGGATTTTCAAAAGTTAATCCTTGCAGTGGGGCTACCACACTGCAAGGAGTAACTGCTTATTTTGGTCTAGGAAACAGGATAAAGAAGATACACTCACCTGATCCTTGATCTTGCTCAGCCTGTAGTATGTCCCTCAGCATCCTCACGTCTCATACAAGTGAATGGACCTTGCATAGACATGATGAAGTCAGCAGGGCTTAGACCACCGGAGTCGGGGGGGGGGGGGGGGGGGGGGAGGAGCCTGTGTGGACCGATCTAGCAGCTAGGTGGGATTGAGGATCTGGTAAGTATATTTTATTTGCACCCCTAGACCAAAACGAGCACTTATCCCTTGCAGTGCAGGGTTGCTACAGAATGCTACAGAAACACACATGTATCAGTCTTGCATACAGGCTCCTCTAAATAGGGCACTGGTCCCATTGAAGACTTAACACCCACATAAAGTCATAGCAGGACAAGCCGTATACAGTCATCCAT